CCCGCGCTCCTCGCTGAGCTCCGCTTAACACACTGCCACACCCCCCGGTGCACCGCGGATGGAAACGCGCTCCGATAAATCACCTCTAAGTTAAAGGCAGCCATTAGCTATTAGCAAACACCGCAGGCCTGTGGGCCAGGGTAATTCAATGTGATATGCTTGGGCATGCAAGGTAATAGGTTCCAGCTGAATACCATGTGATACAATCTCTTCAATGGGAGGTTAAATGAGGCTGAGACAGAGACCAGATGGATTTATCTGGGTAGCGCTGATGATTTTTTGTGTGTGTGCTTAAGGTGAAGTGAAGGTAAGTAAGGCAGAAATAATCAGAGAGAAAAGCACGAGCTGGGCTGCGTGCGGTTGGGAAGGGATAGCGGGAGCTCGGGACCTCACTCATCCTGCTGGAACAAACCAAGCGAGCTGGAGGATGCTCTCCAGGCAGTACAGATGGAAACAGCCAGAGAGAAATAAATACTTTATCAATTTCCCCTTATGGAGGAACAACCAGAGGGCAGAACGAGACAAGTGGAGCGTAGCTGGGCAGATGTAGGCACCTCACTGCTATTTCAGCAGGAATTTGGAGCCCAAACACCATCTCTCATCCACCCAGGACATCTGCAGCAGGCAAAGGGACAGAGCCAGCATGCTCTCTCAGGCTGAGGGGTGGCTGCAGTGCCCGTCAGTGTGGCCAAAGGAGGGGCAGCTCCATGAGCAGAGTCAGTACCTGCGACAATCAAGTGCTCAGCTTTTGCTTGGAGCAGGTTGTTCTTGCTCAGGTGGCCACACGGAGCTGTGGGACCCCTGCGAGGCACAGCCATGTGTCTGCAGAGGCAGCAGAACCTCTGAGACAGCAGAGGAAATCCCTCCCTGGCAGGGTGGGCAGGCCCTGGCACCGGGTGCCCAGAGAAGCTGTGGCTGCCCCTGGATCCCTGGTAGTGCCCAAGGCCAGGCTGGACAGAGCTTGGAGAAACCTGGGATAGGGGAAAGTGTCCTTGCCCATGGCACAGAGTATGATGAGATTCCCCCACACCGAGCTATGCCATATAGTGCTCCCTGTTCCAGAAGGTTCCAATCAACCTCTGCAAGGACAGAGACGGGAGGTGGAACACAGCACAAAGCAAAGCACGTACCAGCTCCTTCACGCTCACCACCACCGGCACTGACAGGCCTCAGTCCAGCACAATGAGGGGAAACCCTGGACATTGCTACGGAAATACCCCACTTCACCCCGGGCGTGCACCGACAACCGCCAGGGCTCCACGGACCCGGCCGCCCCTTCCCACACGGCCCCGTCCCGCCCTCACGGCCCCGCCGCCAGGAAAGTTCTGGAAGCGCCGGGCTGTGCCCACGCCCAGGATTCTCCCGGGGGCATTTTCCTGCGCAGGGCTCTCCCGGAAGCCCATGGGGCTCCATCGAGAGGATCTGACCGAGGAGTCACCCCACGGTTCTGCTCCGTGAAACCCAGGCCCCGGACCCCATCCCGTCCCTGCAGAAGGGCCGAGCAGAGCGGGGCTGGCCGGCCTTCATTTTCCGACAACACCAGCACAGCCTTCAGGGACTCCCACATAAAAGTAGCACAGGAACCACGCCCCGGTCACCCCAAAATCCCCGCCTGACCGAGCACCCAGCGCAAGGAGGAGTGCACCTACCCCGCCAGGCTCGGGCTGGAGCGGGACGAG